TAAAATTGAATCCACACTACCTGGAGATGGGGATAATTCCAATTAGATATGACCAATCATGGCTTTGTTGTTCTTGAGAAGAAAATTTATAAAGAATTTTCCGATATATTTCCATGTAAAATTTTGATTGTCCATTGTGGCCCCACCCTACCCCCAAGGGTCATGATTTGAATTAACTTGAATCTACACTACCTGAGGATGCTTCCATTTAAATATGACCAGTCATGGCTTTGTTGTTCTTCAAAAAAAGATTTCTTAAAGATTTTTCATATATATTCCTATGTAAACTTTGATTGTCCATTGTGGCCCCGCACTACCCCTGGGGGTCATGATTTGAAGAAACTTGAATTTACACTACCTGAGTGTGATTCCATATAAATATGACCAATCAAGGATTTGTTGTTCTTAACAAGAAGATTTTTAAAGTATTTTCCTATATATTCCTGTGTAAAACTTTGATCGGCCATTGTAGCCCCACCCTACCCCCAGGGGTCGTGATTTGAACAAACTTGAATTGACATTAGTTGAGGATGCTTCCACATTAGTTTGATCTTTCCTGATCCAGTGGTATTTGAGAAGAAGATTTTTCAAACATGCCACCAAATTTTTACTTTTTCGTAATTATCTCCCCTTGGAAGAGGGCAGCGCCCTTCATTTGAACAAACTTGAATCCCTTTACCCAAGGATGCTTTGTGGCAAGTTTGGCTGAAATTGGCCCAGTGGTTCTGGAGAAGAAGTCGAAAATGTTTAAAGTTTACAGACAGACAGATGGACGGACTACGGACAAATGTGATCAGAAAAGCTCACTTGAGCTTTCCGCTCAAGTAAGCTAAAATGATATATCAGTTTGACTTATATTTACATGACTATTGTCATAATAACAAGTTTATGTGGGTGATTTTTACTAAATTAGGAAAAATGTATTACAGAGATCTAAGACAAAACAAAGGATCCATCCTAAAGGCATCGGTAGAGTACATGAAGGAACTCATCAACGACAAGGACACTATGCAAAAGTTGGAGGAAAATCAACAGGCCATGAATTCAAAATTTCAAAAACTACTCGTCAGAATATTTGTAAGAATTACCTTTTTTTCTTTTTTAAAGAATGATTTTATATCATAATTTAATTTTGTTTATCTTACGTTTCCTTATGTCTTGTTAGCACCTCTTTCCGCAAGTCGCTTTTGAGATATCAATTGACACTAAGTGTCTTTCACCTCATTTAAATCCATATTTGGCGTATTTTTTTTTAAGTATAAGATAACCAAGATAAAAAAAGTCTTTCAAATTGTTTTACTTTTTTAAATAACGATAATATTACTCTTCTGTAAATTACACAATTTATATCAATCACGTTTCTATGATATCAAAAATTTGAAATACGAGGGCTGTTCAATAAATAATGTCCTCAATGCTCGGAAAAAAGCAAAAGGCGCTATTCAATGATTTAGTCTTAATGATTTAATTTAAATATTCTCTTTTAATTAAAACACATGTCCGTAACATTTTTGTCCAATTTCAGTTTGAGAAATGAACCGTCACAGGGTGACAGATCTGGCGAAAAGTGTTGGTGTCACAAAACATTAACTTTCTGTTTAACCCCAAAACACTTTTACTCTTCAGATCAGGGAGTTTGGGTTTGGACGCTGTCATGAAGAAATTTCATGTAAAGGATTCCTGATTCTAGTTCCTTCTTCTTATAAACCTTTCGATTTTTTTGCAAAAAATTTGCTTTCTAGACTCCCCCAGATATTAAACTGCCTCCCCGAATAAGAATATAAAAAACAAGGCCGCTAAAATTTAAGAAAATAGCTTATAAAACTGTCTTTGTCCTCTTGCAATTCTTTGCAGTTTTCAGACCTTTGCCGTTTTTGTCAAGTGCATCTTATTGTAAATTTGTTCTGAGGGTTTAAAACAATGGATTCAAGTTTCATTATCTGTTTGAATTTCAGACAAACGTGGATAACTACAATTTCCGATTTTTAAAAATAATAGTTTAGATATTATTTCACGCTGTTTTTTTTCACTCATTCAGCAAAACATAGGGTGACCATTGAGTACTAAGCTTTTTTACTGTCAAATAATTTTTTTTCTTAAATAGTACGAACTACCCCCAAAATGATGCCTATCAAATTTGCTATGTGGCTTAAAGTCAATTAAACATCATTGTGATAATTTGTTGAATTTGGGCAAACACCACTTTGGTTGTGTGAGTCTTTGTCGCAAGGACGGTACCCATTTTTGATGCCCATGACATCATTATTGTTCATTGAAATCCACCTGTTTATGTCTCTATAAAACAGACATTAGGTGCTGTAAATTTTTTCAGTGAATATTTCTTTAGGATTCTTAAGAAGTTTTACAGCAACTTTAATGAAGCGTTTTATTTCACTCTAGTTTACTGATTCTTTACCATTCATTTTTAATGCAGTGTCTCAAATAACCCTTGTTTTCCAGCTTTTCACGATGAAAATATGAGAAGAAAAGTGGTCACATAAACAAATATCAATTCATGAAAGATTCAAGTAAAGCTTAATGCCATATGATACATGTGTTGTATGTCATAGAGTTCAGGACATTATTTATTGAACAGCCCTCGTAATAACCGCTTTATTTACCAATTGTACATTAAAATAAAAGAAAAAATTCAAGTCAGTTTAACTACGGAAATTTAGCTCATTCAAGTTTAAAATCGGTTAAAATTTTAATTTGAACATAACTAACATATAACATGTATAACTAAACCTCATCTAGATTAATACATTTTAGCAATTCATTGGTAAACATTTTCGATTGAATATGTGCGTGTCACGTCTACGAAAGCCCAGAAGGCTCATTCGAGATTCGAGTTTCAAAGTACGAGATTCGAAATTCGAGATTCGAAATTCGAGTTTCGAGATTCAAGATCCAAACTAACCAATCAGAAGCGAGTTTCAAAGTACGAGATTCGAAATTCGATTCGAAATTCGAGACGAAATTCGATTTGATTATCAAAAGCGGGTTCAAATTCGTTTATTAACTATGAAGAAATCGTTTAAAATAATTTAACAAATGAATTATATTACAATGCAAGAAAGAGTGTTATATATACCGGGGTAATATTTTGGATTTTTGATCAGAAAAATTACTTCAATCTATATTATTTCAAATATTAAAAAAATTACTTATACCATGAGTATTTATATTTATTTGTATTGTCTTCTAAACTTAATTTTTATGTATTTTCCCGCATAGGAAAACCAAATGTTATATACCCCAGATTGGATTTTTTCACAACATATATCTAATACACTTATTCATCGTGTGTTCAATGCCAAAAAAAAAATCGTAAAAACCCAGAATAATCGCTCAACACAAAAAATACCCCACTATACATTATAAGAGAGATATGCCACGTGCACTCCAGTTTGTTTACGTTGTACGCCCGCTGCTATTTCTAGGTTTAAAACCATGCATTTATTTTAACTTAAAGTGTTGATTAAAATTAACTGTCTCTACATATATTTCTGTCTTAGTCCATGCTATCGGATTGACTCTGCATTCGTTATAACGTGTAGTTGGGGTAATGTATAATGGTTTTTTTTTTTTTTTTTGGTTAAACGATTATTCTGGGGGTTTTAACAATGTTTTCGTATTGTACACATTAATAAGTGTAATAAATATAATTTGTTAAAAAAATTGTCCAGTAAGCCCTGGTATTGAATATCGAGGGGGGGGGGAGGGGTCCTGTCCACAAGTACCTTCGTAATAAGTGTATAATACAAAAATATATATACTCCTGATATATGTAATCTATTTAATATTTATATAAATTGAAGTATATCTTGCTGCAAAAATCCAATAATTATTTAAATTTCCTTCTAATATATATAAAACACTCTTTTTTGCATTGTAATTTAATCAAATGACCCATTGGTTATAATTATTTTAAACGATTTCTTGATAGTAAAAACATATAACAAATGTTGAATCCGCTTAAGTTTGGATCTTGAATTAAACTCGTATTTCGAATCTCGTTATAACGAAATTAAATATTTGATGTTGACACAAATCTTCGTCTATGAATTAAGTAATTTCTACGAAAGCCGGATAGGCTCATTTCTGAAAAGATAATATTCAATTTGTTATAACGAGTTGATTATCTCATTATAACGACTTAGTTATCTCGTTAGAACGACTTAGTATCTCGCTATAACGAGTTAATTATCTCGTTATAACGACTTAATTGTCTCGAGATAACGAGATAACTAACTCGTTATAACGAGATAACTAAGTCGTTATAACGAGATACTAACTCATTATAACGAGATAACTAACTCGTTATAACTAGATAACTAACTCGTTTTAACGAGTTAAATTTTTTTATCTTCTCAGAAATGAGCCTATCTGGCTTTTGTAAATTTTTATATACCCTACAAAACGTGTACTTCCGTAAAGTATATTAAAGTAAATAATGGTTTAGATATAATCCTCAGTTCTATACGGTGAGCATTTGAAATCTGAATTTTTGTGTAAGAAAATGTAAAGCAATAAACAAAGTTGGAAATTTTAGTATCACTGGAAACATAAGGCAACAATTGTTTGTGAAACAATGACTTAGTTTGGCAGCTTATGGCTAAAGATATTCTTAAAAAAAATAAATGTAATCAAACTCCAAGGTCAATGTCAAAAGGTTGGTAACTTGATACTGTACCAAATACCAAATTAAACCCCAGCACAAGGTATACACATGATGAATAAGAAAACCATGTACTGCAGTTGATCGATGCAAAGTAGGGCCTACAAAATAAATTGATTTTGGACCGTTTGATTTCTTACACTATAGTTTCAATATATAATGCACTTAATATGAAATAAAATCAAACACAAGTCTATATGCTTTGTTTTTGAAAAAAAATCCTGTTGACTCTTTTTGAATGAATCTCCTATATATTCTTTCAGCAACTGGAATTAAAAATGAAATTATATGGTTTATCTGAAGATTTTGGCAACTTTAGAGTGAAGAAGAAGAAAAAACCCAGAAAACGATTATCCGATATAAATGCAATGGTTGATGATTTTATCATGCAAAGCACACCAAAATCTTTTTCAAAGAAGAAGAAAAAAACTGGGTTTTCTCGCATACGGAACAAAGGCGACGCCCCACAGAACGACAACGAATACAAAGTAGCGGACGCAAAAGAAGGCTTACGAGAGCATCTGAATAAGAAGTTATCTACAGAAGAACATGCCAGACAAGGCACAATGTTCGACGTTGCTTCGTCGAAGGATAAAGGCCACAGAAAGCAGAATGAAGTTAATATTCCACCTTCACAATCATTAGCTTATGTTTGCGACGCACAAACCGAAAAAGCCAATGCACAGAATGACAATGTCACCTCGCAGACGATTGCTCTCAATGAAGGAGAAGAAATAATGGAGTTGTCAACAGAGCAATTCCACGTTTTGCTTAATTTGTTTGAAAACCACCAGAACGGAAGTGAACAAAATCTAAATACCGCCGATTGCTCGTCAAATGCAGAGGACGTTTCTGCAAACGTGGAGTGCTTATCACCAGTGACGTCAACATGCAACATGTTGGAATCTTTACTCAGGAGGCCAAAAATACTGTCTGGAAACGTATCAGAGTCAAGTGGATTGGAGGACTCCACTGAAAGCCAGAAGGGATTGCGATAAATATAATCTGAAATAATAATTACATTTAAAAAATATTCGTGGTCAAGTTATTTTTTTAAATTATTTTCATTTAAACAAGTGAATATGCACATTAAATAAATTTTGTCAGTTTTATTTTTAGATCTTATTAAAGGTTTGTTCTTCCAGATACTAATTATATTAGGGATTTTTAGAAGTTTAATCTGCAAAATTCAGATCAGTAACAGTTCTTATTTACCTGATTTACTTGGGAAATGTTAGATTTCATCACTGAGAATAAATAAATCACTGTCAAATAGAATCTTTTTTTTTATATATATATAGCAATGCGTGCAAATTTTACTTTAGTTTACAATAATATCCAATCGTTGTAAAGTCACCTTTATCTATTGTATTAATTTTTTTTTATTTCTTCAAAGGGTTTTGTATGTAGAAATTGAAAATATAAGGTACAGATGTACTTTAGATTATCTCAGTTTAATTTTTTTTATCAGTTTATAAATGTATAAACTCGAATATAGCATTGCGAATTTTCATCTCATTACCTTGACTGTAGTAAGAAAAGATGCTTTTAATTTGTTCCTTTCTAGAAATTTTTTAAACCTATTTTTGAATCATGCAAAATTTTTACTAAATAATTGTTTTTGTATTGTGATTTTTTTTAATTATAAATAAAAGAGGTGTGATTTAACTTTCGATGATCGGAACTCTTGATGCTATCAATAATACCTTATCAGATGCCGCAGAGACCTAAACGAGTATATAATGGGTGCTGTTTGTCAATTCTTGTTACAAATAGCATACCCTGTAGATTATTCACCTTTGAACGGCATGTTGGTCTATTGGGACTCATCTATTGGGATCTGATACCTGCTTAATCTAGTTAAATATAAACTCCTACATGTATGGAGAAAACATTTTCATATTATAATTGACCATTGCAGCCTAATAGCACGACACCAAGAATGCACAAAGACCTCGAGGGTTTTCAGTGTTTTACGCTTGAATTTTGAGAATAGACGATCTTTCAGTGGTGTTTTTATTAGGACTGTGCCGTTGTTACAGTCCCTGAAACGTTCTGCTTTCCCACCTGAACGGTGAACGAACGCAGAGCGAACGGTGAGTGAACGATGTGTGAACGCTGAACGCAAGTTGGTGAACGATGTGTGAACGCTGAACGAACGGAGCGCAAACGCGAGCGCAAAGTGAACGGTGAACGCAAGATGAACGATTTATTCGGAATCCCTCCGATCTTTTCCTTGCATTGAAACTATCCTATTGTATTCTAATTTCAGGTGCTAAAATATAAATAAACATAAATTAAGAAATAATGAAAACAAATTTTCTGCACATACGTATGATGTTTAATTTTAAATAAATATTATAATATCACGTTTTTTATTGCTGTAAAATAAGTGTAATTGTTACCAAACGCGTGTAGTGTAAAAGATAAAATTAATCTATTTATAAAATAATTTGCTTATTCTTTTAACTAATAAAGTAATGTAGACTTTAGAAGAGAAAACTACTACCTAGAGAATTAATGAATTACCGCGGTTGTAACAACCACATATTTCCGTGTCAAGGCGATTCCGTGTAAAATAACGATTTTTTTTATTTACAAAGGTCTCTGTTGATGTATTGCATAAATAAACTCATTTTTTTTAACTTTTAATGCAATAATATCATATATTTATGTGTCTTTTTATGATGATTTTTTAGCAAACTTCTACATGTATCAATAGACATTTCCCGGCCGTGATTATACTTGGACAAGATTGAAAGAGGCATTCAAATTATTTGTAATAGATTAGATTTTCAGAACTAAATAAATAATATGTTGTCATCGTTTTTATTGAACAGACAAATGTAAGAGAGAGAGAGAGAGAATTTAACCCCCCTACATTCTCAGATATCCAGCTGTTGTATCAAATATATAATATGGAAAAATTCTGTGATCAAATATTGGAAAAATGATACCGATCCAGGGAGCTCCTGGCACCCCAGGTGAGGTATTACCAGAGGGCTTCTGCGGAAGTTTTACCTCAATGTTATGTTGTACGTTATTGAATAAATGATTTGAAAAATTAATATTTTAGTATCGTTCTACATACATGTACAAGTAATAAGTAAAATTATAGAGAGTATAAATGTGTAAACGTAGTTTTATTTGTAATGAAATATATGGAGATAAAGAACAGTATTCAAGCTCAAAAGTCCAATAAACAATACAGAATAGGAGCAAAACAATCAGAGGTGGGATCAGGTGTCATGGAGGAGTAAGCATCCCCTGCCGACCGGTTACACCCGCCATGTGCTCCTTGTCATGATCGGGAATTGACGGAAAAATCCCTCATCAATTAAGTGTGTAAATAATGGCCTTACAATTAGTATGAAAAAATGTCAGTCAGAATTTGACTCAATGATACTAGTAAATTGTATTTGCTGACAAGGTCATTGTATCGACCAAAGAACTTACGAAATAATGACTTTAAACGAGAATGTCGATATTCTTGCTTTATTAATTTGTTTCTCAATAATTGTAACAATTTAATGTCTTAATGTCAAACATAATTTTATTTTCCTTGTCCCTCAGTGTCCAAACTTCTAGAAACTTATCATATTATTTTACAACGTATTGATGAAGGTAAATTGTATTTAAAATTTATGTTTTTGTGATATCATTAAAGCATTTGATGGAACATGGCACAATGGTGTTCTTTTCAAATAAAAAACATATATTTTTAGTGATCTTTTATAATACATCACAAGTTATATAAACAATTAATAAAACGTACATGTAATATTATTAATTATCATAAAGTTCTTTTGGTAGTAGCTACATTACTTAGTATATTATGCAAATTTAATGCTTATATACACATGTATATATATTTTTTAATATCACGATTTTGGACTGGCGTGAAAATCAGATACATAAATATGTATACTCATATCATCGTTATGTTATAATATATATACGCCTTCATATTCTTGCTTAGTTTGAATAGTTTTTAAGCTACAAAAAAGTAAGTCATTATGTAAAGACCACTAACTTCCCTTCTTTTGCGACACACGGGGATATCGGGATAATGTTTCACAAAATCTCACTAATATAACGCGGGTGGCCTGTCAGACACGATAATGGGTAAATCTCATTATAAGAAAAGTTCAAATCAGGGCTAAATAAACCATTTTATATTATGGTATGAAGAATAAAAAATTTCATTGATATTTTATTTGCTGTTTTTTGTCAATTTAATAACCGTGTCAGTAAAATCCAGTTTCTTTCACATTTCCATTTTAGAAGTATTCTCTTTATGTAAAGTATTAAAAACGCAGATTTGTTAAATGCAGCCCCAAGATTCATGCATAATTTTTGCAGAAAAGGCATACAAAGCGTTTACAATCTCCCGCTTTGAGATAATATGTTTCTCAATTTTCAAAATTCACGGAAAAATTATATTTTTGTAAAATCATGTTCTCAGTAATTTCATCTTCAAAACATATTATTATTATATATTTTACTGAACGACTTATCATTTGACAAACTTGACAGTTAAGCATATTTAATGGAAAATGGGTTTACAAGAGCCATAATTTTTTTTTAAACATGAATGGGTCAAGTCTCCAATTTTCGTTAACGCTTAAATGATGGAAACATAAATGTGAAATCTATTTTATTTGTCCAAAAATTGAATCTGAACCCATTCAATATGGAAATCGAACATTTCTGAAAAAATGTACGCTTCAACAAACCCGTTCATTATACCCCCCGCTTGATACCCGGGGGTATCATTGAGTGAGCTCATTGCTCACAGTACCTCTAGTTAAATCAGACTGATGGACATCGATAACTCACATACTTCGCAACGTATGAATATTTATTCATAAAATATAATATAATAAGATAATTCAGAAATTGACAACCGATTACTATTCATGATTAAATTATTAAGTTTAAATTTCTAATTTTTTTTTAATATATAAATTTGAAGTAAATATTGAAATAATTGAAAACTTGTAATGCACATAATAATTTTTGTATTTTAATTTCATATGTTATTTTCCAATTCTCTCCTATTATAGGTTCACCTTTACCCTATCTACCGACTTTGGTATAGACTATACCAATTAACTAATTATCTCACCTGGTCAAATTCCCGTTTTGCACACATTTTTTCTATGTCTGACATTCAAATGTGTGCAAAACGGGAACAAATCGTAGTGATTAACGAGGTCGGTCTTGTGCCAAAACCGGCGCTAGGCCTATGGAGAGAAAGTTCGAATCATGCGTGAAGCTTTTTCTTTTTGTTTTCACATATCTTAAAAACATGAGTGAAAATGTTTAGAATAAACTATTAATAAACTGTTAAAACAATAAATACAGAATTAAATGTGTAAAAGATGATAAAAACGGCAATAAACCATATAATTTTGAAAAATATAACTACATGTATCATGAACTTATAGAATTTAGAAATGTCTTTTCTCAGAGCGGGGGGATTGTCCTCTCCTTGTACGCCTCCATTCTTTAAACTTTTTGTATAATGTGTTACACGTACTGATCAAATGGGAAAAAAATCCATTTACTATCAATATTATAATTGTGTAGATGTCAATGAGTGCATGATCTCATCATGTGATGTATATAAATAGCCTTTGAGAATAGTGGTTTAATTTTTATACACTCCCCCCCTTGAAAATCAGCTTTGGGGTACCCATCTCTTATCCGCAACTCCTCTTATACTACTGGGTGAAATTTAATGAAACATTCACAGAATCTTTATTACATATTGCCATTGTGCACCTCCTATTTAACTTTTTGATCCATCGCATATTTTGGGTTTCCCGGCCACAGCAAAACATGGACTTTGCCATTATAACCATATGGGAGGCGGAGGGTATCATTTGCACACAATACCTCTAGATTTTTTTTTTTAGATTGCATTCATTTGATTTTATACGTAAAAAATGTTATTAAATAAAGGCGTTCGATTTTACAGTACATGTACAGGATA